CGATACAGCATTTTATCTTGTCATCCCTTATAGTGCTTTGAAGGATTTACTGCAGAGTGGTGAAACATGGCACTGTGTATTTTGTGGTTGAAGGGCACCTTTCACTTCATTTTTGGGCAAAACACAGTATTTAATTGCGCACAGCAGTGTCCCACAAGGAGGGATTATTACCCCCAGAAAGCGATACATCAATTGACTAACAACTGGGTTCCTACTTACTGCTGGGTATACAGAGACCTGTGGAGTAAAGAAACTTGCTTAAGATTTCACCCCCCCCAGGATTTGAACCGGGTCCTCTCGCTTGCGAGGCGTGCGCTCTAACCAATACGCCACAGGACTCCACAAGGGCTTCAGAGTCACCGGGTCATGGCTGAGGCTTGTGATTCCCAACCTAAAACATGCTCTTGAGGGATGATAAGATAACTACGTGAGGGGAAAGTGCCACAGATCAGTTCATTGACAGACTCTACCACCCAGGAACAGCACAATTGAGGGCTGGGATAACCAGGAGGATGAACAACATCAGCCTTGATCGCAAACCCCCACCTCGTGCGTCACTCAGAGCTACATTCAGTTAACGATCACCGACTGACTGAGCTCTCAGGGTAAAGCTTCCCCCTGATAGAAACCTCTTCACTGGGAAGCTCCTGATTTCTGGTTAGTCCATTCCAAGGTCGAAGGGAAATATTGTTATGTTCAAAACAACTGCAACGGCAAATAACTTAACTCTGGTAAGAGAGAGAGAGGAGAGATGAAGAGAGAGAGAAAGAGGAGATGAAGAGAGAGAGAGAGCGTGAGAGGGGAAATCAAGAGAGAGGGGAGATGAAGAGAAGAGGAGAGAGACACGCGCACACATTTTTTCCATGAAAATCCCAAGCTGTTTTGGGAGCTGTTTTGGCCCAGCACTCCCCAAACCCTTCCATTTTGGAAAATATTTCACTGCAAATAACGCAGCCGAGCTTCTGTATCTTTTTTTTAAAAAACCAAAACACACAAGTTTAAAGACAAACCACATCAAATTGTATTTAGATAATGCTCTTCACGCGTGGGGCGGGATGGGGGGGGGGTGTCTCGGAGAGCCTAACGACCTGCAGCAACTGAATTGGGGCCTTGTGCCTGAACTACGGCGAGACAAGACACACTTTAACAGAAGGTTTTTCTGCTCAAACAACAACGGTTTAAGCTGCAGTGAATCACATGCCTGTGTACCTACCATGCACACACCCAGTCTAACAGATGGTAAAACACTGGACCAGGGAGGTTCAGAACGAAAAGTCGTTGGATGGTGGATCAAATACAACAACAAGGTAAATCCTCATTAATAATAGAGAGATTACCACCTGATCTCTTTGATGGGCGAGTGGCTGCAAGTTCATTTTTTTATATACTTTTTAAAAGAAAAAAAAACAGAAAGGAACAGATCAGCAGATGTCATTCACAAACTGGCTGAATTCCAGCTGGACAAGTCAGCGAAGCAGCGAGCTGTTGAAGGAAGGAGTCCGCACAATGTTCATCGTTTTGAAAGGAGGCAGATTACAGGGAAATCTAATGACGTGGCGTCCTCCACGTAGCGTTGAGGTGGTTAGCGCGCTCGACTCGCAAGCGCGAAGAGCCGGGTTCAATTTCCGGGTGGGGCGAAATCTTAAGTAAGTTTCCTTACTCCATACGCCTCTGTTTACCTAGCAGTAAGTAAGAACCTGGCTCTTTGTCGATTATCCCTCCCAAAAACACATGTCACTCAATCGCCGACTGTTTGTGCGACGTTGCTGTGCACAACTGGCTGCTGTATTTCGCCCACAAAACACACAGTCGATTCACTTTACAATATATTCTGTGAAGCGCTTTGAGACGTCGCGATGACATGATAAGTTGCCATATCAAAGGCAAGGACTATTATTATTATTATAAATCATCGGTCTGTTTCTGGTGAGGACCTAAAAGTGAACCTGAAATCCAAAGGCATCTGACACATGCAGAAACCCATCACCGTGCTTAAGACTATCCAAACTAAGTTAAGAATTCCATGCGTCTCATCTGCACAAGGAAATTCCAGAGATAGATTGCTGGAATGGAATGCGCACTCTCTCCCCGGGGGGCCGCATCCGTCTTGCCTAATTCCGGAAAATATTAGGCGTAGGTTGGCAGGAGCTGAGGCTGGTGGGGATCCCAGATTGTGCGTTGGGTGTAACTGCTGGAGTCTAACTAACCAGTTCCCTCCCACAGACGGACGTATGGGAGTCAACAGCCGTAAGTGTTAATTCTCTCACTCTCTCCTCTCTGCCACGCAATGAGCGGGCGTTACTATCTGTCAGGAGAGCTGAGCAGGTCCATTCCTGTAACACAGACAAAGCATCTCGCTGAGAGGCGAGCTTGGCTCTGTTATAGGAATGGACGGAGATCAAATAGTGTTGGCAGCTGCATTGGAAACCTTTAGAGCACGTTTTGTTCCCGGCTTCATCTCTTAAAACCACAAGCAACAACAGCTTGCATTTGTATAACAACAGGAAGACTGCAGCAGATTCAACAGCAACAACAAATTACATTTGTATAGCACCTTTCACGTCGGGAGGATATCCCAAGGCGCTGAATGACAGAAAGTTGCCTAAAGTTTTGCCTTGCCCTGGATCGATGCTTTTAACCTAACCAGTAGACAGCCTAGGTACAAACAGGGGGAATATATCTGTCTGGCCAAACTATTTTCCCCCACCACCACCTCTAACACTAACACAAACATTCTCCCTCTCTCTCTTATTAGCCAAATGTCAACTGGAAAAGAAAAGGAAGAGAAAGGAAGCAAGAAACAGTGGGAAGCATTTGCGGTATTCCTTCAGGCATTGCTTGAGCTATTTAGCACAAGGAATGCCTGAAGAAACGCCGCAAGTTGATGCCCTAGATTCACGCAAATAAGTTTTTCCTGAAGTTTTTTTTTCTCTCTGGAGAAAACGGGTGTTTCTGGGTAGATTTTGTCCCCTCCCAAAACTAGAAATGTGATAGTTTATTTGGGATTGTGGGATCTGTGTAGAACTTCGCCCTGGGGGTTGCTTTCGAAGTTATCTGTGGGATTGTTTTACTAGTAAAAGGCAATCGGGATCCCTCACAAATTATCTGTTTTCTTCGCAGTTTGAGTTCTTGCTGATGCAACACAATTTTTTTTTGCCTCTGGCCACTTGGAGCCACCAGAATCCCAATCACACACACACACTCACTCCAGTCACACACCAACCCTCGCACACATATACACACATACCCTTACACACACACACACACCCTCACATACACACACACTCCCTCATATACCTTCAAACCCTCACACACACTCTCACATACACCGTCACACACACTCACACAGTAAAACATCACACACACACACTCTCACACATACATACACAGCCCCTCACTCAGTTACACACACAGTAAAACACCACACACACTTTCACACACACCCTCACACAGTAAAACACCACACACACACCCTCACACACACCCTCACACAGTAAAACATCACACACACACCCTCACAGTAAAACATCACACACACACCCTCACACACACCCTCACACAGTAAAACATCACACACACACCCTCACACACACCCTCACACAGTAAAACACCACACACACACACCCTCACACATACCTCACACAGTAAAACACCACACACACACACACACACACACACCCTCACACATACCCTCACACAGTAAAACACCACACACACACACACCCTCACACATACCCTCACACAGTAAAACACCACACACACACACACACACACACACACCCTCACACATACCCTCACACAGTAAAACACCACACACACACACACTCTCACACATACATACACAGCCCCTCACTCAGTTACACACACAGTAAAACACCACACACACACTTTCACACACACCCTCACACAGTAAAACACCACACACACACCCTCACACACACCCTCACACAGTAAAACATCACACACACACCCTCACACACACCCTCACAGTAAAACATCACACACACACCCTCACACACACCCTCACACAGTAAAACATCACACACACACCCTCACACACACCCTCACACAGTAAAACACCACACACACACACCCTCACACATACCCTCACACAGTAAAACACCACACACACACACCCTCACACATACCCTCACACAGTAAAACACCACACACACACACACACACCCTCACACATAAAAACACCACACACACACACACCCTCACACACACCCTCACACACCCTGAAACATCACCCACACATCAGCTGCCTGAACCCTCAGAGCGATGGAGCTCAGATTAACAGAGACTCAAAGGTGACAGACACCCACCCACCCCAACCCCACAGTTACCCTCTGGTTAGTAACTGCAAGAAAGGAACAACTCTGGTGCAGATTTAATGGATAACTCTGAAATACTGAAGACCAGCAAAGCATCTCCAGTCCCGTTAAACAGTTCCATTAAAATCTCCCCCCCCCCCCCCCCCAACCCAGCAGCCACAGGCACAGACACACAACTTCCCCCCAAAAAAGTTTTAAATAAACTAAACTGCAGCAAATCCACATATTGTACAGAAATATAGAAATACACACATATATATATATATGTGTATAAAATCGCAATGCAAACGTTAAAACCCAAGATTTTTTTTTCGCCATCTCTCTCTCTCTCTCTCTCTGTCCATCACCTTTTTTTACGCGTTAGTTTTACTGTTATCACCTCTAATAAACTTATTTCTCAAGTTCCAAACATTTCGATTCGCGCAGTGAAATCGTCTGCGCGCAGTTTGCATTGCGTTGGCCACATCTGGAAACAACTGGGGTGGGGATGGGGATGGGGATGGGGATGGGGTGGAGGGGTGGGGGGGTGTGGGGGGGGAATACTTTGCAAAAACACAAACCACTTAACTACACAGTCCAACCCTTGTTAAAGAGAGAGAGAGAGAGAGAGGGATGGGATGGGAATCAAAAGTTTCAGAGAAGCAAAATAACAATGTTACTTACGCGCTGCAGAACAAATGGGGAGTCAGTGCTGTGGCTGTGAGTGTGTGTGAGTGGGAGCAGAGCTGTGCTGTGCTGTGCAGCTGTGGGGTGATGGTGGTGGTGGTGGTGTGTGTGTGTGTGTGTGTTTGGGTGTGTGGGTGGGTGAAGTTCTCGCTGAAAACTCTGCTTGTGTGTGAGTCTGCATGTGATGTCAGCCAGACAGCAGGGCGCGGTCTGTCCAATTCATTTGTGAATTTCAAGGCTATTTTTTTTGTTGTTGCACTGGTTACACCCTGTGTCTGTGCGCTTAACTCCTTGCACACTCACTGTGCTAACCCCTTGCTCGCGCTCACTCCCTACTCACACTCACCACCGCTGACCGCGACAACGCACTCACGCCTGCATATAGAGCGCCTTTCGAGTCGGGAGGACGTCCCAAGGCGCTGGACGGACGGTCGGTCGGTCGGTCGGTGTTTTGGATCTGAGCTGTGGGTGGGGGGGGGGTGGAGGGCGAGGCGGGGGGAAGGAGGGTGACCGAAGGCACGGTCGAAGAGGAGGGTCTTGAGACGGGTCTTGAAAGAGGTGAGGGAGGGGGAGAGGCGGAGGGCACTGCGGAATGGAGTTCCAGAGGGTGGGGGCAGAGTGGCTGAAGGCCCACTCGCCAATGGTGGGGCGGGCGGGCGAGGCGGGGGACGTGAAGCAGGATGGTAGGGGGTTAGAAGGTCGCAGAGCTAGGGGGGGGGGGAGCAAGGCCAGGATCTTGAACTGTACCCTCTGTGTGATGGATACAGAGGATACACACACACTCACAGGGAAACTCACTCCCAATGTACAATCAGCAAATACTGCAGAGTAAATAAGGAAAATAATCGCACCCTCCCTCTCCCCCTAGATATTGGGTTTGACATTTTTCTCAGTCCTTCCTTAAATGACTGGAAATCTGAATGCAAATTTTGAATTGATAACTTGTTGAATTTTTTTTGTTGAGAGGAGTGAGTCTGACGGGAAACTTTTACCGTGTGCTCCATAGAAATCAAATACCGGCTGGATAAAGAGGGGCTCTAAACTCTGCAAACGTACATGATTGACACAGAATTAAGTGGGGTTGAGCCACAATTTTACGTTGAAGTAGAGAGTGGGGTGGGGGTGGGGGGGGGGGGGCGGGGAGAGTGGGGTGTGTCTGACCTGCATTTATTACAAAGGCCAAAGGTTAAAACAAGCAATACAAAAAGTTAAAAAATGTGAAGATTGTTAAAAATCAAAGGCGAAATGTTAAAATAATGACTATATTTCAAGTCTAAAAACTTTATTTAATATAGCGTCACATCTTCGAGACGTCTCAGTGTGCTTCACAGATTATACTGTAAACAACAACAACAACACGATTACAGTTGTATAGCACCTGTCACGTCAGGTGGACATCCCCAGCCGCTGGATAGTGTACAGCATTTCAGACCTGAGCTGGGATCAGGGAAGGAGAAGGGAGATGACTGATGGCATGGTTGAAGAGGAGGGTTTTGAGGCGGGACCTGAAGGAGGCTAAGGAGGGGGCGAGGCGGAGTGATTGGGGGATGGAGTTCCAGAGGTTGGGGGCAGAGTGGCTGAAGGCTCTCCTGCCAATGGTGGGTGAGGTGGGTGGGTCAGGGGACGTGGAGCAGGTCGGAGCCAGCTGAGAGGAGGGAATGGGTGGGTTGGTAGTGGAGTCCTGTAGCTCAGTGGTTAGAGCACTCGCTTTGCAAGTGAGAGACCTGAGTTCAATCCCCGGCAGGTCAGGGCGAAACCTTGGGCAAGTTTCCTTACTCCACACAGAGCCTAATAATAATCCCTCCAAAACCAAAAACAATAATAAATTGGTCATTTTCAATCTACGACTGTTTGTGGGACATTGCTGTGCGCAATTGGCTGCCGCGTTTGCCCACAAATATACAGTCAATTCACTTTACAGTGTGTTCTGTGAAGCGCTTTGGGACGTCCTCCCGACATGAAAAGCGCTATATCAAATGCAAGGATTATTATTATTATTATTATTGGTAGGGGGTTAGGAGGTTGCAGAGGTAGGGTGGGGTGAGGCCATGGAGGGCTTTGTATGTGAGGACCAGAATCTTGAACTGTTAAGGATAGGGAGCCAATGGAGTCGGGCGAGACTGGAGGAGATGGGGTCACAGAGTTTGGTGCGGGAGAGGACACGGGCTGCAGAGTTCTGGATTATCTGCAGCCTGTGGAGGGAGGAGTTAGGAAGGCCGACAAGCAGGGCATTTGCATACAACAACAACAACAACAAGATTGCATTTATAGAGCGCCTTTCACGTCGGGAGTCCATCCCAAGGCACTGGACAGTTGAGTCGGGACCTGAGCAGGGGGGAAATGGTCAGGGTGAGGGAAGGGAAGGGAGGGAGCGAGAAGGGGGTAGAGAGTCGAGAAGGGAGGTGAGAGAAATAAATAATAATCCTTGCATTTGATATAGCGCTTTTCACGTCCTCTTGACGTCCCAAAGCGCTTCACAGAATAGACTGAAAAATTGACCGTATATTTGTGGGCGAAACTCGGCAGCTAATTGTCCCACAAACAGTCGTGGATTGAAAATGACCAATTTATTATTGTTTGTTTTTGAGGGATTATTATTAGGCTCTGTGTGGAGTAAGGAAACTTGCCCAAGGTTTCGCCCTCTGCCTGGAATTGAACCCAGGTCTCTTGCTTGCAAGGCGAGTGCTCTAACCACTGATCTGCAGAACTCCACAGTTGAGCCTGGAGGTGATGAAGGCATGAACAAGAGTTTCAGCGGCCTGAGGGGTGAGGTAGTGGCGGAGTCGGGCGATGTTACGGAAGTGAGGGAAGGCAGAGCGGGTCATGGCTTGGATTTGGGGAAGAAAAGACAGTTGAGGGTTGAACAAGACACCTCGGTTCCTGACTGGCTTTGGTAAGTTGTAGTGTGCGACCATGGAGGTTGATGCTGCCAGAGCCTGAGGTGCTGAGGCGCTGACACGAGCCAATCAGGAGAGCCTCAGTCTTGTTCACATTCAACTATAGGAAATTTGCCCTCGTCCAGGACTTGATGTTCGACAGGCGGTCTGACAGTGAACTGAATTGACTGTATATTTTGTGGGCGAAAGAGAGTGAATAGTAGCTCAGAGGCTTTTTTTGTTTTTTTTAATTTCCTGCTGTCTGTAATGTAATGTCGCTGCGATCTGCATTGTTACAGACAGCGGGAATTTCAACATCATCCCGGCATCATTAAGAAAAACCTTCCTCCCACCCTGTGCCTCTCTGCTTTCCATCAGAACCTCTGTCACTCATTGACATGGGTAGACATTGTCCGATGGATAAAGAGAGCCAATTCGTTTTTTGCCACTGACTAAAATGATGCTGGCATCGGGGGTATACTTTGGTCTTTGGAGGGAGAGTCCCAGCCCCTTTGGCCCCCACATCCCACATCCCTGATTCGCCGCAGAGGACTGGGCAGAGAGCTGCAATGGCGTCCTATCAGATCTATCAGATGTCAGCCTCACTCAATCAGGAGCACTCTTGCCTCAAAGTCCGAAAGTTGTAGGTCCAAGCCTCTTTTGGGAATGTTGAGCTCACAGTCTAAGCTGACGCTCCAGAGCAGTACAGGGCAGGGCAGAGAGCTGCAATGCCGTCCTTCAGATGACACTTTAAACCGGGGTCCCATCTGCCTGTTCAGGTTGATGTTAAGGCACTATTTGAAAAGAGAAGGGAGATTCTCTCTCCTGGTGTCTTGGCCAACAATCCACCAAATAAAATTGGGTCACTCACTTCGTGGCTTCATGCTTTCGTAACTTCAGGTTACTGCGGTCTGCAAATTGGCTGCTAAATTTGCCTACAAAACACATAGTAAAATCCAGTTGAACGCTTTCAGATACCTTGACGACACAATAAGGCCCTGCGTCAAATGCAAGGATTATTCTAAGTTGATTTTAGAGTTGTTAAAGGTTAAGCTCGCTGTTTTACATATGGTGTCTGTTTAGTTGGTGTCTGAGGGATATTTACTGAAGACAATACAGAAGCGTCAACACAACGCTGTATCCACACACACAGCACAGTGCAGAGACATCATGCAGTGTAGTTTTTCTGCTATTCACTGACTTGCTATAAAGCTGTTAAAACAAACTTCCATCTTTCCACTAACAGCACGGTTAGCCTGTGGGCAGAGATTTGATGATCCGTACAAGGGCGATGGCAGAAAGCAGCCCGGAGATTGGCTGGTTCAAAAAAGTTGTTTTGCCTCAACTGTTCTAACTCTGAGTTAGTTCTCAGCCAGGCATTGGGGGGTGAGTGTCATGTGAGCCATGCATTTCAGCAATGCATTAATACATTGATTCTACATGACCCACACACTTCAGCAATACATCCCAAGAGGCCAGGACACCTGAAACTCATCAACAATAATTTACATTTAAATCACGCTTTTCACGTTCTAATAATATTAATAATAATAATCATAATCCTTCCATTTGACATAGCGCCTTATCACATTGTTGAGATGTCTTAAAGCATTTTACAGAATATGTTGTAAATATATGTTGTGGGCTAAACGTGGCAGCCAATTGCTACTGATTAAGTTGACTACCAACCGGGTTTCTATTTGCTGCTTGGTAAACAGAAGCGTGTGGAGTAAGGAAACTGGCCTAATATTTTCGCTGCCCGGGAATCCAACCCAGGTCCTCTCACTTGTGAGGCAAGTGCTCTAACCCTTATGCTACGTGACTCCATCAAGCTTTTCATGTCGGGACAAGGTTTCAAAATGCTTGACTGATTGGGAACCCAAGCTGGGGGATAGGGCGTTGAACATGAAGTGTTAGTTGAGTGTCTGGGGCAGTCAGATGGCAGGAGATGACAGAGGTCTGTGCTCATGTGCTAATAAGCTACTGTTGAACCAATGCTCAACAATCCAGTTCCTGAGCCAGGCGGGTCCGCAGTACAATTGACCCAATTTTTTTTTGTTGTTTTTGGAGGGATTAATACCCCCGGAAAGCAATCCTCCAATTGCCTAACAACTGGGATCCTACCTACTGTTAGGTAAACAGAGGTGTGTGGAGTGAGTTAATTAACTGCTGTGAAGAGGTTTGATACAGGACTTTTA